AGTTGGGGACCTGTCTCGGTCCAGAACTGAGTCAACTCAGTCCAGAACTGAGACAGGTTCTCAACTGAGGTACAACAGCTGTTTCATCATACGGAAGAAGAATAATATATCACCGAAGGTCAGGCAAAATACCTCGAACTCCAAAAGCAAGTCGGTGAAGAATTAGTCAAACTAGCTCAGGAGGCTCAGGGCACCCTGATTCTCTGTGTAAAAAGTGTAAAAAGAGGTACAACATATGTGCCTGAATACTAAAGGACGAAGAAATGCTGTTCTCACATAAAATATTAATATTTGGATATTATATCGTAAATAATATTTCGTTACTGAAAGTTATTTTCTGCCGCCACATCAATATTTCTCTTTCCAATGATCAAGTTGGTGTTCGAAAATCTAAGTTATACAAATGAGTCATAAAATACATGCGTTTCACTAACTTGTCACCCGATCCAATACTCGGAAAATTTTGACCAATTACATAATTCCGTAGTAAACAGCGAAATCGGTACCCATTTGCCCATAGATCTATGAACTGCAAGCACAAGTGAATGCAAAAGACTTGCCAAGTGTAAAGAAAGGATTGTACAAGGCAACACTGGAAACTCAAGGATTCCACTGCCTGCCATGAATGGAAAATGATCATTGAGGATATCCTTAATTACATATTACAATGACTTGTAACACTCCACAACTCTGGTTTTGTCAATTAGTTTTTGGGTTTGTGGTAAGTGCTCAAATTTGGTTTGACTTTTTAATGCATTTACTAACATAATTGATTACATTTATAGGCACACATATTCGAATCTATGAGATGGATATAAATCATGACAGAATTTATAGAATGTTCTTGACAGCAAATGTACTCATTCCAATACCAATGGAACAGGCGCAATTTTGAAGTTTTGTACCAGTGTTTATTTTAGAAGCATTCCATAGAGACATCCAATGGTCAAACATTTTGTGTGATCATCAATGACAAATATGTTCTTATTGACTTTGAGCATTCTATGAGATACCTCAATTTAAAAGTTTGACAGGTTGGGATATGAATACTAATACCTTAGAATCTGGAAAGTATACATGCTCATCAGATATGTGTCAGGTCAGAAAGTTGTTTAATGGGGAGTCAGTGATATTGTCTGAGATAGGGAGGAGCTTTATGGTTTATTTGTAGAATGCAGATCATAGTGCTAGGATGACAGCAATAACTGCTTTCCAGCATGAGTGGATAACACAACCTCAAACCTACAACCATCCGACTGAAGGTTAAACATCCGATCCGAAATCTGTAGGGCATATGCCATGGTATTAGCTGGGACATTAGCACCGAATTCGGCCTTAATGGTAATATCTTGAACTGTGGTTTTGAGACGCTCGTTTTGTTTCCTCAAATCAATAATGATAAATTCATTTAATGAGATGCTATTGCTATTTTCCTTTTCACTAACGCCATAATAAGCCTTCTTAAAATCACAAAACATTTTATATCCTATATTTAGTAAAAATCCAAATTGCAAGTCAATAGTGGGATATTAATATCGGTCACCGTTTAGCATGATATAATAATAAATATTTCTGAGATTTATGTTATTGAAAAGATGTGATTAACTCGTTGATTGGGACGGATATGAAAAAAGAATTGCACCGGAAGCAGGTCGCTCTATCGACCAAATTGAAGAAAGGCAGGTGAATTCCGCCCATCATCTGGATGCATTTGAAAGTCAACGACAATCCATCTATTTTTATTTTCAACGCCCTCGTTGATTATTTAAATGTTAATGTTGATTGTATTTCACCGGTTATTGAAGAACCCAAGGTGACGCTATCATCTACGTAGTTGAAGTCATGGATATAATTATTTGAGATTGTACATTTTAATTGTGTTATAACAGTAAATTCCTTGAATAACTGTCTATGTAACAGTCTATAACGTTGCATTAAAATATAAATGACTCGTTTCATTTAGTACAATTATATATACCTTCCTCCTCCAATACCAAGCGATCCGTTGATCAAGCGTTTGTCGATGGGATAATAACATCGCCCCCAAGAAATCCAACGCGAGCTCGAATTATTTCGTATATGCAATTCCACAAGCACAATAACAGCATATTAATAAACAACAACAACAGCAGGTTGTATATCAATAAGCACAAACATTGACATTGCTAGATAATTATTTTCCGGTGTCAGTAGACGTACAGTCGTCGAATAACAGATTGTATATGGAAATACGAATGTACGATTTCCAACAGAGCCACAAGAATGCACCGTCACAATATACTTTGGTCAACCCTATAAGCGTATTATATAACAGATTGATAACGGATAACGTAAGTGAAATCTATGCTTAATGCGTGTGTCCGATGTTTGGCATAGGACAGTTGTTCATTGTCCCATGGTAGTGTCTAGTGTAACAATGTTATACACATCTTTAGTCCAAGCACATGTACCATGTCTAATTCTCAACCTATCCATTCCTTTCTTTCATTATGTACCTAAAGGTGGGTGTCGCTCATAGAATATTATATATTGTATATATACTGTACTGTATATGACATATTATATTATATTCACAAAACGAAAGAACTTTTTTTTTAAAACGGTTGCGTTGGGAACGAAAATTGCATTTTCGAGACTGTATCTTGAATGTGCCCACCATATTTGACCGCTTTGAAATCATTCTGATCTACAGCGAAGCATTGTGAGATAAATTAATATTTTTCGACGAAAATCTCGACCTGCAACAATATTCTGGGAAAAAAGCCTTGCGAGCTTGAATCCGCTTCAACACGACTTTACCGCCTATTTTACGGTGCGAAGGATTTTCATGGCCAATCCATACAGTTGCCTTATATTTGAAAACTCATCGATTTCTTGATTTAACGGAAAAGAGTGTTAGATTGCTGCATCTGCTTGCTAAATAATCACTGTACGATTCTCCAGAATATTACTGCCTATCATGCTAAAAGAAAAATTAATAAAAACAACACAGTCGCACGACTGTTACCCAAAGTTAAGGGGTAGAATAGTGTCGTGACAGGTTCCACCAGTGTGACGTAATACAATAAGCTGCAAGATGCAGGAGTGGAACTTGTTCATTCAAACATGACTATTAAGAATCCAGCAATTGACAACTTGGTTGAATCCTCGGAAAGTGAAGACGAATTATTAAGGCTTCAATGGATTTCTTACGAAGAAATCAACAACGTAAAGCCGACTCAAATTGACAACGTTTGCTACGCTATTCGCAAACGTGAGACGATAACGCTAGTATTACTTGGAAGTAACGAAGAATGCACACCAACATTCGTGAGTGAGTTTGCAAGAATATACTCACTTCCAGCACACGAGTACAACAACAATGACAATAACTTTAGACGATACTCCGTATGGCTTGAAGACCGCAACCGATTCATAAAGGGGTTTACCAAGCATGACGATAACTATTACATGGTTGCTAGTAGACAGTTTTACCATTGTTATTCTCGACATGGCTTCTGCTCCACATGTGGAATACTCCGATGTAGTCCCGTGTGGTGCATTTGTGGTTATAAACAATTATCCGAT